GTCTTTATATTTTGAATCTTTGAGCGAGAAATACTCACATTGCGGGGGTGTTAATGAGTTAACAAACTCCACCCCCTCGTTAAGAAACCTAGCTTGCCTTGTAGGCTCTGTCTTGCAGTCCATTAAGGCGTTTTTTGGTCCTAATGAGGTCTCTTCAATGACCGCAATGCTTGCTTCTTCAGTCCGTAGGCATCCATTCTCCCAATCTACACTTTGATGATTTGCCTTGATCCACGGCATTCCTAGAATTATATTGTACTGGTCTCTTAATTCAGTAATTATGAAGGTGGTTGGTGTGTCATTTGGGTCGGTTGAGTTGACAATGAAGTCTCCAGTGTGAGTTACTTTCGACTTGTGCCCACTGAACGCTGTGACACTTCTGATTGTCTCTAAAGGCTCAATGAATAAGTTGTTGTTTGAAACAAAATTCTTACTCATTGCCTCGTGGGTAGCGCTGCTATCAATCAACACTCTTGCTCTTATAGTTGCGGCTTTCTTAACATCAAAAATAATGATCTCATCAATGATACGTGTGTCTTTCATTTCAAGGGTTGTAATATCACTACAATCTAAAGTTAAGTCATTTCTGCTCAGGGGAGGCGCAACTAGCACTCCTGAGCGTCGCCATTTTTCGAGCTTTCCGCTTTGCTAACTTCTTCTTTTGCTACATCAACCTCAGCTACTCTTGATTTAAATCTACTAAAACCACCATGATAACCACGACCTCTTCCTCTCCAGCTTCCCCTTCCATTACCAAATTTCTTCTTCTCAGGACAGCTTCCAATAAAATGATCATCTTTCCCACATTGATAACATTCACCTGCCATTCCTCTTCTTCTATATTCACCTCCTGAAATATTGACTCGATAAGCCAAACAATCCATCGCATTAGGATCTATGTTAGAAGTTGCTGGGGTTTTTGTGTTCGACCTCTGGTGAGTTGCCTCTTGGTTCCTTTCATTTACTTCATTATCAATCTTGATTGCTAATTTTGCCATCTCTTCACCTCTTCAACACGTCTCTGACCATATGAACTCTAATGCTACCCTTCAAACCTTGCTTAAACTGAGAAATAAGAACAGACTCGGGCCATTTTACTATCAATGAGAGTTCAGCGAATTTAATCCAGTAATCGGAAACGGATTGAGTTTGACATAAGGCTTGTATTTCTTTTTCAGCTTTAGTAATCCGCTCAGTGTCAAAGAATGTAGCCTTCATAGATTCAATAAACTTTTTCCAAGTCCAAAAGCTGATCCGTTAACGATTGTCCCCAAAGACTAGCTTTTCCATCCATGTAGGATAGCGCAAAGGCAACCTGGGCTTGTTCATTGACAAACGAAGCCACGTTCATTTGCATATACAGACTAATTTGATTGACAAAATCCTCCACCTTTTGACCCTTTGCACCGTCAAACTTGTTTGGGGTTGCTATCTTGGGTGCTTTAATCTGAGGTATGTGACGTTCAGTTCCAGTTATTGTTGGATGAGGAGGAGGCGGGGCTGCAGCGGAAGTTTCATGCATCGCGGTGTTGTTCTGATCAATGCTTTGTTTCAAATCTAACCAACGTTGCTCAGCTTCTTGCCTTAATCTGCTCTCTTCTATCAACCTCCTTATCCATTTCTTCCATCTTTCTCATCATATCTTCCAAATTAATTCCAGACATTGTCTTGCTAGCTTCTTCAAACGAATCTTCACCTTCCGAAGGTGTTAGAGGTAATGTAAAGTTTGGTGTGGTGGCTGATTGAGGGGTGTTTAAAGTTTTGATTTGCAGATCTGATATTAGATTAAGGTTTGGGCAATTGCGGGGTAGTCAATGAGGTTGTGAGATAAGCTTTGGTCGATTCAATTTACTTCTATTATGCAATTTACTTCTATCACGTCTCCTCCTATTACTGTTCTCTTTAATTCTCTAAGCTTGATCTTTTTGTTTTTCTTCTCTTTAACTTTTCTCTTTTTTTCAATTTTTGTTCTTCTTTAAATCTTTAATTGTTTTCTTTCCGTCGCCTTCTGGTCTTGGATCTCAAGTAGTTTAGACTTAGCAATATGTAAGGATCCGAGTAGTGCTATGAGATGCAAGACAAGGCAAGGGTATTCTGATACTATGATAAGATTGCTAAGTGAGGACAACGCCTGCTGCTCACAAGCATCTGGGCTATGCTCGACGCACATGTCACATATGTGTAAGTACAAGTGATACTGATATGGGATTGTAACAAAACCTCTCATATTGCAGGTCTCCCTTCCACTTCCAAAGATTGTCAATAGGGATGACAGAAAGAAGAAATCAGATGCACCAGTGCTGTCAATCACCACGATCCATAAGGAGGACGATCTGAGAAAGGCCACAAAAGTGTTTGGAGTGATTAAGAAAGACACAGTGGGGCTGGACAACTTGGCGATAGATGAGGTCCAGACACCATGTCCATGTGGTGTTTGCTTGTCAACAAGCGCACACAAGTCGCCTTTGCGCCTTAAAGACAGTCTGTGTGTGCTTGTTTTTGGGCAACTGTCACAAGGACACGGTGAGAAGCATTTTTTAAGAGGCTCATGGGTGGACAGCATGTTGAAGCATTATAATTTGGCAATAGTAAAGTCGCAGAGGTTTGCGGTGGTGAACGAGGTGGAAAGAGGAAGACTGCTACTTATTTTGGAAGATGTAATCACTCAATTTGTGGTATGGGCTTTGAAGAACGGAGAGAACAAGGCGCAAGATGACAAGTTGATCAAATCATCAACATTGAGATCATACTTAGCCGGGATTAAGGCATGGCACTTATTCCATCAATGCAACTTTCCCAGCAAGGTAGATCCTACGTTAGCAAAGCTCCTGATCAAGGCGTAAAGGATGGTGGAGGCCAGTTTTAACCAAATAGAAAAGAAATGTCCGCCGGTGTTAGTCTCAAATTTGGTCAATCTGATGAATAGTGTAGATATGAGTTGTCGGCAACAATAGCCTTGGTGGTCTTCTGGGGAACGGCGAGGTTAGGAGTGTCAGCTCTGAGCCCTGTGTACAGGACCACGGGCTAACAAACACATATGTAAATATATGTAACTTGTTTAAACCCATAAAGATTACATTTCATGGCTCATCATCAAGAGTCACTTAAGTAACAAGACTTACTATGACTTGAATTAGTAATAGTAAACCTAACCCAAACCTAACCCAAAGCAAAAGCAAACCTAAGTGCCAACCACAAGTTGACACCTAGGTCTAGGATATATAAACCCCTCTTCTTCCCACTCTGGAAGAAGAACCAACTTCATATCATTACACAACTCATCATCACAACTTACTTGATTCTTCACCAAGAATATTGAGTACAGTGATATTGTTGTACTTTCATTGTCATAGTTCTTTTCTGTCTTTGTTCAGGTTATTGTAAAACCTCAAGTGGTGTTCTGAGCTGGTGGGTTTAATAGCTAACAGAACAAGCTTGGAATTTACCAAGGGTTCCTCTTCAAAAGAGTCTAAAGTACCCAGCGGCACCTCTGAATCCTCAGAGTCTAAAGTACTGCAGGCTCCAGAGTTGTAAGATCAACCAGAGCTCCAAGTAAGATCCTTAGAGGGATTACTCAGCCATCCCACTGGCTATAAATCCTCTCCTCAGAGGTCTATTAACTGTAGTCTTCACTTGGGTGTACCAAGTGAAGACTTCATCTTTGTCTACTCTTCACCATTTTTAGTGATGAGTCAGCCCAACAGTTGCTGACTCCTCACAAGGAGAGTTAGTCTCTGATGATCCCAAGAAGAAACTTCCAACTTGGGGAGACTTTGAGTGGGGTGAAAATGGAATGTAGGCTAAAATTGTGGTTCATGAAGCAAAGACTGCTAGACCAGGCAAAGTCCAGTTCATCTATCTACAAGGTCAGAAATCTTGTTTAGACCCAGCCTGGGCTCTGTGATTCCTGTTTGACCTACACCCTTGACTTCCTTTGGACCAAATCTTCTTGATTAATCATCAAAACGGCAATGAAAACTTAGGGCACATTCACTTGAGGAATTTCTGACCAGAAATCACATTCTGTGAATTTTTTAATACAAAAATGAAACATGCACCACCAAATAGATGCTTTGAATTTGGCAGGATGTGATTTCTCACCAGAAATTGCTTAAGTGAACGTGCCCTTACTGTTTAGGAAGTCAGCCCTGATCAAATGTTACAAGAGGGTTTGGAATGGCAGTAGGTCTAGTGGGAAACAGCTGTTATTTGGTCATTTGTTTAGGATAGGGGGTATCTATTAGATGGAACTTGGGAGTGTTGAGAGAGGAGTTGAAAGTCTGTGGTAGATGATCTTCGGACGTGTGTAAAATTTACCTTTGGAAGTTTGATGAGAGAGAGTTGAAAGAAACTGTGAAGCTGTTGAACAAATTGAAATTCTGATTGGCCTGGTGAACTCTAAAGTAATGAATAGAAGTTTAATTGGTGGCTTTCTGATCTTACGCAAGAGAGTTCAATTGGCAGTTGAGTTTAGTGTCTGAGGAACCTTGTGTACTGAGGTGGTCTTCTTGCAGAGATCTACAGGCTTGGGGACCTGGTGATTTGACTGAACAAATTCACCAAGGGCATAGAGATTGTGATGATTGACCAGAATGAGGTCAATGCACAAGGTAAGGGACCTACACATTGTTGGTAATGATCTGGTGAGGGGGACACAGCATCTGCGTGAGTAAGACCACTCACGTGAGGTGAGTTTGGGGGGTTCAACTTCTTGGCTCACAGCCCCATCCTCCTGTGAGTGATGGGGTCGAGAATTATTTCTTCTCTGGGCTGTCCTTGTCCAAAAGGTAAAGGTAGCTGGTTGGGAGAAACCAATGATATATAGCCTCTTCACCTTTTGGACCACCTCCATGTAGGATGCGGGTCCATGTATATAGGACTTAGCCTTCTATGTGTATGTGGGAGGACAGTTTGTAACTAAGATGAAGAGGTTATCTAGTCCTACAAGCTGACACTCAGGTTACTCTGGTGCGCCTTACATGTAATGCACCTCACAAGAAATGGATAGTAATTGTGTAATATGTTCACCCCACACTTGTCTTCCCGTTCAAGATGGAGATAACGGTAGAGGTAGTGGTGTAACTGTTGTGAGTCTGCCTCTAATGGTACAACTATAAATACTATAGGATACCAAGTTTGTTTTGCTTAGTCTGATTTTGCCTATTGGTGGTAGCTTTTGACTGGTGCTACTGGGCTCATATACTCAAACAGCTATCAAAGAGCCCAGGGAAAGAGATACAGAAGTGTTTAATCTTTTAAGAGCAATAGAAGGAACACTGGAGATAGAGTCTTTGAATCCTTTAAAAGTTGTAGGATCTCAACATGTCACCTTTTGGAAAATGAGCAAAGATCATGTTTCTTAATTTTTGACTCAAGTAAAGATGGACTGGGGATAAGTGATGCAGATATTCCATTTAATATGGATTCAAATCACTTTGTGATCATTCATGCGGCTTGGATGGTCAATTTTTTGAAACCATTATCCATATTTCAGAGGGAAAATTTGAAAACTGAGTACAATACCATTACATGGGTTTTCTACCATTGGAATATCCCTTGGTCTACTGTGATGCATTCAAGCTCTAGACCAATGAAGAAGCAAAAACTGACATTTCAAATGTTGCAATTTGACGTATACAGGCTTACAAAGCCTAATGAACCTCACAGTGTAATTTTACTAGTCACTGGCAGGCCAGTGAGTTCCATTCACCTCAATCCAATCCCAATTCAATGTCAGTTCAATATCAGTTTAACCTCCAATTATGTTTTAGTGTAGGATATGCATGGGCTGCATAATCTCTCAAACCTTCCAGACATTCTGACACCTTCATGTGTGGACATGCAACCAAACTTTATTCCAGTTCATTCTGGAAGGTTGTTTGTCTGCTACTCTAGGCCAAACATTGAGATTGGATTAATATTGGACTGACATGGATTTGGGATTGGATTGAGATTGGATTGAGCTGGACGTACTCACTGGCCTGCCAGTGAGTAGTAAAATGACACTGTGCCTACTCGGACAATTGGTGTGGACTATTGATACAGTGAATTACCAAGTCGACATTGTCCATCCATCCAAGTCCATGTTTTGCTCCTTGTTATCATCTGTTTCAAACAAAAAAGCAAGTAATGAGGATATTGATGGATTGATAATAGAAATCATCACCCATGATCCCACTTGAGCGGTAGATCTGGGTTATGGTGAGTCTAAATGGTTAGCAGAGGAGATATGTGAAAAGTTTTCAAAGGTAGGTTGGAAGAATATTGGTTTGAAAATATCACAAGTTGAAATCAACGTGTTGAGAATTGGACAATTGTGTGGAGCTCTTGAGACTCGAGTATGGAACAAAACAGAGGTAAGTTTATTGTTTAAGGATGATCATCCCTTCCCATGATAGGACCTTATTACCTGGTATTTGACCAATATTCTTAGTATTGGTCACTCTTGATTGCTGGTTATAGATTTACGGGTTGTCTTCCATTACTTGATTGGGTAAGTTGCTTGAGCTGAAGATCATAAACCATGTATGCACAGATGATCCAGTAAACGGTTCTAGATTAGCTTGAAGCTTCTGACAGTATGTAGATACTCTGTGGGAAGTTGCAGTGTAAATGGGTGGAAATGGTATGTCTCACAACTTTTTCAATACAACAGATACTTTTGATTTGCTATAGATAGTCCTGATTTTGATTATGTAAAGAACTGAGACAATAAAGTTTCATATGAAGAAGAAATCCGACTTGAAGAAATTAATCTGATAATTAGCTGAGCAACCAAACACTCAAATTCAATATATTCTTCTTTATCTCAGGTTTCACATCTACACCAACCTCTTCACACTACACAAAATGTAATCTTTACTGGGTGGTAAAGAAAACTAATGACATAGAAAAATCCTGAGGAAACAGGAAGAGAGCTAAAAATCTGAAAAAATATGTACCTTGTTCCTAGATGTTGGAGCGTCATGATGAGTAGTTTTTCGTATTTTACACACAGATATTGGTTAATTTAATGACAATAAAGGCTGAAAATCAACAACAACCCACCTGTAACAATACCTGAAATTTGGCCCATGATTTAGACAACAGGATTTTGAAATCTTCAAACATCAGTAAATTTTGCAGTTCTGAATCAAATCACTCGATTTTAAGTTCGTCAAAAAGGTGAGTCTTTCCTCTACATTTGTCATTGAGACATCACATCTGTAGCCAGTCTGCAAAAGATTCTACAGCTATTTATTCAAATATGGTTGAGCATATGTACCTACAAAAGTTTTCCATTTTTCCAAGGGGAATTATTTTTGAAGGGGGGATAATTTTCAACCCAAATGAAAGCAGTTTATCAACCTGTCTGCACCATCTAAGTTTCAGTTTGCCCAAAACAAACTCCAGAATAGTGGCTGAGCAAGATAGAAAATGCTACATATATTCTGGCTCTCCAAAATTTGTTGCTTATCTGAGAGATACACTTACGGTACTCAAAACATATATATTTATGTACATAGTTGTCATATATAGTTTTTTTGGCAAGCAAAATACTTCAAAAATACTTGTTTTGTTTTTTTCCCCGCCAAAACCAACCATATACAACAAATATGTACGTGTACATATATAGCTTTGAGTACCGTGACTCATTGGAGTTGCACAGTTCACACACATTGGTAGCAACTGTGGGATGGAAGTGATGTGACTGTGGCTGGGTCTGTAACCAATGTCATTGATTCACACATCTCACTCATATCAATATACAGCTCAATCTTATCCCAGTTGTTTTTTCAGCTTTGTAACAAAGTTACAGCCTACCACATCACATGTGTGTTTACAAGCAGTCTACATGTAGTTGTAGGAGTCATATGGAAATACATTTGATTACATCATTATCAAAAGGTCTTTGTGAAATTTTTGAAACTATGAAGATCTCTTGTATCATTCATTTATAATTACAACCTTGAAAGAAGAGGAGAAAAGGATAGAAGATAGTACAGCATTTGATTTGTATTGTGAAGAACAAATAAAGAAAGAGTGGGTTTCTGAATACAACATCATTGAAATTATCTATTCACGGTCTGTTGATATCAGAGCAATGGTTGAGATATCAAGGGCTGGGTGAATAACTCCAGGCTTGTATGTGACAAAACTACAGCTTGCAACAATTTCTGTGATGTGGATGAGCTCAGCTGAGTGACATTTGTTTACAAATAGATGAACTTGCATATTTGGCTCATTAAGCAGTGTGCATGGATTGGGCTTGCTGGATGGAATAGATTTGAAATACTCTACACATGCCCATGTATCATAGATCACAGCCTGACCAACTACAGGAACACGCCCATGTGTAAAGATTGATGCAATTTTTCCAAACCTGGTAACACCTGTTGATTTAATCAAAACTTCAACAGCATCTGAAGGCTCTACCACAAAAGTTGAGAACTTCACATCGGATTGAGTTTTGTGCTTGTATCTCTTGTGAAATCTTGCCTGAGCAACTACTGGTGAATACCCTCAGTGGTTGGCTGATGTTAATGTAGACCAGGTTTGTGAGCTGAGCCAACTTCGCCCTTCAGACTGATTAGAATTGAGTCTATTGACCAATTGAATTAGGAATTCTTCATTTAGTGGCTGTTGATCGTGAATCGGATCAGTCTTTCGGGTGAAGGGGATAGGATTCAAAAGGCTTTGTAGTTGTGGTAGGTATGGATCAAGTTCTACAGGAAACTTTCCCTCTTTCAATAGAGCGCTCAGATTACCCGCTCGTCCAAAGTTTTTCATGAAAGTTATTTCCAATTCACCTGTTGAATGATTCAAATACAGAATTAGTATTAATGACAAGTCGGACAGACACCTTTTCAAAAGCTGAAAGGACTTACCAACATGATTATTGTGATTGGCCAGTAAGATATGACGCATTAAGCGTTCAAAAGGGTATGACCACCATGAGCGGACCGGTCCAAACTTCTCCAAACATTCGGCTAGGTGAGATACAATGTGGTGATTTGTAGCAAGTCCACAATGTGGAAACAAGACCAAGGAGCTTTCGAGATAGCAGTGAGTGTGGTGTTTGAACTGCTTGATCTTGTCAGCAGTCATTGTTCTCTTGAGGGCAAGGTTGGTGAGCGAGACAAGATGAGCAAAGTTCTTGAGCAGTGAGGATTTGAACTGGGTATCGTGAACGGTGCTGCTCCACATAGGCACAAGTATAAGGGGGAGCTGAATTGTCATCAGAGTCCTCCATTCGTCAGCCTTGAGCTTTCCAAAGGAGGCTTTACCCAAGTAAGGAATAGCACGTCGGATCCATGTAGGTATACAAATTTGTTTGAGGATTGCATTTATCTTCGAGAGCATGGACTTATCGAACTCGATTCAAGTATCATCAGGTGGTGTCCATCTACCGTTCCATCCTTCAAAGAGGAGTGGATCGAAGTCATCGTCACTTGGATCAGTGTCGCTGTTGAAAGCGGGTAGATCACGGAAGTTGAAAAGAGGAGGTTCACTATCTGAGGCTGGTTCTGAAGGTTCATCCACTTGTTGATCCTCCTCTAGAGATGGGAGCGGAGCCAGATCCGTAGTAAGTAGAGCACGTAGCTCGGAGGAACTGAATGGATCACCTTCTGGATTTGTGTCAGTCTCATCTGACATGGACCAGAAGCATCGAACGTGCCAATTGAGGAGCCCTAGAAGTATGTTATGCATACTATCAATAACCTGATAGTCTATCAATTTCCAATATTTGAGCTCTAATAGTACTGAGTAGCGAACACCATGTTCCTTGAAGATCTTGGCTCGCTTCGCCCAGCTTCCTGCATCACGCGATTCAAAAGCCCATTTCTTGTGCTCGGTGGAAGTTCGCGGTTTCCAAGAGCTTTGATCTATGTTGTGAACATCTTGTATTGGAAGGAAGCAAAATGAGCAGAAGTTTGTGGATCGAACACCTGCAAGTCCCAAAGATCGTCGTAGAGCTGGAAGGTCGGCAATGACAGGTAATAGAGCAGCCCGTATCACTCGACCTAAAGGATGCATTGGAGTTCGTGAAAGCTTTAACCCGGAGTCCCAAAGTGATTGAAGCTCAAGAATGATCGGGGATAGTATCCAGTTTGTTTGTTCGACAGCAGGTTCGTGGGGGCCAGGAGCAATCGAAACAAGAAAGATATTTTCCGGTAAAAATCTCAATTTGTAAGGCAATGTGAGACAAACAAGTACTACAAAGGTAATCGAGACTTTACGACCCGCAGTTTTGTTTCCAAAGGGATTGATCCCATCGATGAACATTCCGAAGGTGAGGTGTCCACTTCTCGCAGTAAACTGAGTGTTGTCGTCGTCTTGAAAGTCTTTCCAGGCAAAGGACTCATGAATATCATGGATCGGATCATCAGGATTGTACGGTTTTCGTGACTCCGGGAGTGACCGGTCAAGAGCCTCTTCTATTGATGGCCTACATATGAATTTAGCCAGCCAGGTTTGAAAGTTCTGAAAAGCACATTTCCGTATTGGTTTTGTTTTATTCTCGTCTTTAAATAAGGGCTCACAGCATTGTGAAGGTAATTTAGTTCTCAAAGATGAAGGAATTGGGTGATGCTGAGGTAGGGGATCATCTGAGTCGCCGTCGAGCAGTGCAGAAACACTAGCAGAGGTATGTACACATCTTTCTGGCGCTTCAGACATACGATATAGAGCAAAACAAGACGGGCAGCAAGTGAATATGTTCAATTTTGGATCGATTTTAAGCCAAGAGATGATGGTGCCAACGTGTCGAGGGAATGCACCAGCTAGCTTATTTAAGTAAAGGAGAGAGTCTGGATTAGATTCTTTGATAGTGAGCTCCGTTTGATCTTTCTGTGCAGTTAACATCCACGCTGAGGTTTGTAGCGAGGCATGCTCAAAGATCGAAAGCATCGCCACTACAAGTGCTGCATGTAAAACCACTGGCTCTGTGAGGGTGAATTTGCGATCGAAACAAGCACCTGTCCAGGAAAAGAATGTCAGCTTGACCCATGAATCGAAATGGCAGAACAACTCACTGGTATCAATTGCAATAACCTGGGTTGTTACATCCGTCATATCGATATCTTGGTCAAGTCTTAATCCACAAGTAGCAGCAGACGCATGTGTTGAGGTTGAAGGCTGGTTTGTGAGTCGTTCATTGGTGGCTAGTAGACTTGGAGACAGAGGCCGGAATGCTTGATAACGTCCATTTTGGGGATCTGGTGGATTTGGACTAGCAGATTGATAAGGTGGGCTAGGAACACCGTTCGGGTCACGCATCATTCCCCTATCTGGCTGTAAGACTGATACTTTCTTGAGGACCTCCATGCGATGGTCTGCCTTTTGATGAGCTTTGTAAGTCGTATGCGAGATCAAGGTGCCTTTTTCGTTCATCCGTCCTACACCATAAGGGTCCTTGCCAGAACAGCATCCCTTGGATTGGCAGGTACACACGCGGAGCTTTTCTGACTTCGGCCGGCCATTGAACATGCTGAACAGGGTATTGAAAGACGAAAACTTGAGTGAGAGACGAGAGAAACTCAACCAAGCATTGGTTGAAAGCGTGAGTGAGAAAAGGGTTAATTATGACCTGGGGACTACTTGGCTAGAGGCACTATACAGATAAGGAAAACAACTATTCTTAAACTTTCCAATCAATATCAACTCGTTGGTCATACATCTTCATACATACATAGAATACTCAGAAGCGGTACTATGTATGCAATCTTACCGTTAATAGTACCCGTTCTGAAGGACCCCGAAGATTTCTTCACAATGTGTGCTATCAAAAAGGGCTCAACCCTCGACATCAGATTTGGCACAGAATTAATATGGTCATTCGATTTCAAAAAATTACATGAATTGAGAATATGTAGATCACTATGTTGGTGACCAAAGATACAATGACAGACCCGACATTTACTTCATGATAAACTCTCAGAGGAAAAGCCGCAATTGTAGAAAGTGACTGCTTGAAAGTGAATAGAAAAATTACATAGTCGTGGCCTAGAGGATTAGTATCTGCATATGATGTAAAAACATCATCAGTTTAGCTTTAAAACATAGTTGAATGATTTGTGAAAAGCGCTAACGTCTCATCTTCAGCTTCTTCAGTTTTTTCAACTAGCATTTTACCATCGGTGGTGTCTTTAGGTATAACAGGTTCCTGATCCTCGGTTGCTTCGATGATGAAGTAGTGTACTCCCACGCATAGTTCAGCATCAAGTTCGACGTTTTCGTGTATAAAGCATTCGTACAGTGCACACAAGATCGGCTCGGTGCAAGCCGCAATAGGGATGAAGAGATTCGGGTACTTATGTTGTAGATGGTATCTAAGAATATCTCGCTTCTTGCCAGGAAGTTGTTCGACGGTAAAGTAATGGACTCGACCACAAAATTCTACTGGATCTTCTTCTTCGGGACCGTTAGGACCATCGAAGACGTGCTTCCAGAGCCTTACAAGAGCGCCCTTGGGAAAGGTTGATGGTACAAAACAGGCCCTAACCCGTGTGATAACAGCTGCACGTATCTCGGCGAGTGACGCACTTGACAAGTTCAAAAAGGCTGCTTGCTTCCTTTTGGAATGTTCTTGGGTTTTTTCCGCCGCAGATTTCTGTTTGATAAAGGGTGCAAGCTGGGGCTCAAGATATTCTTTGTAGTTAGAAACCAATTCATGTTTTTTGAGGCTGAATTTACGAAGGTCGGATCTAATTTGGAAATGACGCATGATGGCAACAAAAAGCTCCTTTTTGCAGGACCTCTTCAAATAATCAACATCTCCTGCCAGAAAAAAAAGAAGTTCTTTATCGAGAGTTTGAACAAGTGGCCAGAGTGGGTGTTCGTGTATGTTAGAAGTGGAAGCTGACATTATAACTTGATAAGACTGGATAAGAGGGTTGGTATGAAATTAGAAATAGTGCGATGTTGATGGTGATCAAGATTGGAATCAAGTTCCGCGAGACTATGATTAATTGAGAAAGTTAGGATCTAAGTTGAAAAGTATGTAGGTGGATGGTCGAAAGGTGTGATAGTGCGTATGCGATGTGAGCATGGGTGAGGAGGTCGAAAGTCTTTCAGTATATATATATCAAGAGAAGTAATTGAGGATTCTTTTGTTAGAGAGGATACAATCCTCAGACTCTAATCAGCAAATAGACATAAAGGTAACCACATCCTCAAGTGGCCTGCGCTCAAACATCAAATACATCCTTTGGATCAGAGTACCTCAAGTGAAAAAGGTATTCTCTTGAGCCAAGTGACTAAACGGAACAAATCTCAAAGGAAGCTTTGTGAGTTCAGGTGGCTTATGTCACGAAAGCTGATGATGCTTTGAAGTTAAATAAAGTTGAAAAAAAATGGCAGACAAAAGGAAATCATCACGTTACAAAAAAGGATGAGCAGTAGTGAATCGTGAAGGTTGAGCCTATGGAGAAAAAAACTGTATGGGATCTATGGCTTACTGGCAAAAGCTGAATAATTGACACATATGTACGTGTCCAAAAGTCAAGACGTTTGTGTACTCCTCACCTTACAGAAGTTGAAGTGTATATGGAAAAGTTGAACGAGTACAGATCCTGTGTACATCACAACCAGCTAGATCTGTGATGAGACGTCTCATCTAATTGTCGTCTCATGAAGATAAGGACAAGCTGAAATGTGTAGTTGAGCAGAAGATTCAATAACAAAAGACACCGGTGCAAGTACATTCGACAAGACTTTTGTTGGAGTTCAACATGGATTGAAGTTGAGACACGCTAGGAAAGTCACACAGACCAGAGATTGGTCAAACCAGGAGGAAAAAAATGGGAAAATGGATTGGGGCTCAAATAGCAAATTGATTGAGTGAGAGGTCTATTTGATCATCATTTACATATTCCTTCTCAAGGAGTTTCAGGTGCAGTCGAATCTCATTTTTCAAAACTTTCATCCTGAGCGGTTGGCTCGGGAGCTCCTTTAGGTTGTTTTGTAAGTTAACAATACCAATGTCAGGGTGAATGAACATATATAGAATCGTGGAAGACACATGAGGATAGAGATAGACAACTTACTTGTAAGTTGTGATGATCAGCCAAACGCTCGGCTATCTAACTCACAGATCAGTGTTTGATCCTGATACCGGAGTCTGATCATTCTGGTGTCGACGACGGAAATTGGCATAACGCTCGTGATCAAAATTCTCTATCTCGGTTTCCAAATCGATGTGGCTGTGAGCTGGAGAAGCGTCTATGAGCTGCTGAATAGTCATCTCATGTGACCGAAGACGTTGGTATTCCAAGTCGGACTGTGTCATCAAATCGGTTACGTCGGTGTCTAAATTTTGGACGTGAGCCTTAAGGACGGCAAGCTCTTTGGTTAGATACTCGATGACGGGGTGGATGAGCCGAACATCATGAGCTGAAAAATCAAAGTGAGCAAGCGGGCAAGACTTCATTCTGTGATGGAGGGCTATGACTAAAGACTTACTGTGGTCCGGAACCAAATCCTCCAAAAATTTGAGTGAATTCTTGAGAACAGCAAGTTCCTTGAAGATTTTCTCGACTGAAGTAGAAATTCAATCAAAGGATCAATTGTGATATTCAGACTCGAAATGAAAAAAAGCTCACTGTCTTCTTTCAATGATGAGCCAGACATAGATAGTGATGAAACGGTTTTGTTTTGATGGATTGAAGGCTACAAGGGAACTCAAGATAACAAGTGCTTAAATAGAAGATCTGAAAGCAAAAGCCTGGTGAGGCCACATGTGAAAACAAATAAATGACTTCAGGGGACGTGATCAAAAGATCACAGAGTGTCTATCTAGAGTCGAATTTGGCCTACCAGAAAAGATCATCTACCTTCCGATGACTATCTTGGATCACCACGTCTGAGTTAAAGCTCTCCAAAAAAGCGTGGGTATCAACATGAAATTCTATTACGTACCACGTGAACGTCATTCCGATTCCAAAGTACCCCCTTTGAGCTAAGACCATCAGGAAGGTATGGTTAGCTGAGTGGGGGAATATGTACTTTGAATGAATGTCAATCCGTACAGATCTGAACCCGCTTCACCTGATTATTGAATCATTTCAGTGGGTTGGTGACACACCTGAGGCTATCAGAAAGTCTAGGGTGCCTCAAGTCCGCTCATGAGGAAGGTAGAGTCATCAAAATTATCAATTGATTGATAATTTTCAGTCACTATGGGTTACATAAACGGTAAAAAAAAAGGTGGACCAAAACCAAACAGGCACGGAACATGGTGAAAAAGCTAGCTCCACCGTATACTCTAATCACTACAAAATAACATCATTCAAGACAGGCATGTCTGGTAGAGAAACAAAGCTATTTTTGAGAAGAAAAAAGGAAAGTGTGCTGAGCGTTCGCTTTTAATCAGTTGACGAGCATTCAGCTAGAATGAGAGCTGATAAGTCCGTTAAGCCATTCAGACAAAATCTCGTTAAAATCATGACGGTTTTCCTCCTCGTTTTCCTCCGCATCATCGGAACCTTCCACTGTATCATCATCTGTATCATTTTCGAGAGTTTCTAAATTAGAGACCGACGGGCGTCTAAAATTAAAGTTGTAGATCATTTTTAAAATGTTCAATTCAAATACTTTGAGTTGATCGAGGTTCGGATATCCAATGATGATGATGTTGGCGTTCATTGATGCCATCTGAATCAAAGTATCACCAATGGCACCAACATCGTGTAGACTGATGCATTTGGTCAGAGAAGGGACAGCTGAGTGCTCCGTCGAGAGATTGATAAATTTGAGCCAGGCTCGAGGACCATAAAGATCGACATCCTGCCATATACTAAATAATAACGCGCACATGGCTTAATTGAGTGAAAAATGAGACTGGGAGGCTACCGGTGACCTACACTTTTTGTGACATCTTTTGCCATCCTTTACAAACCTCAGAAAGAACAGATCGATGGACCCCATTTTCGAAGACTTTAATTCGAGAGAAAATGTTCAGCTGGATGCAGGCCGGAATGCTAGACCAGTGACCCT